TGCTCGACCGCCATTCCCAGGTCATTCCCAGGAGCCTGAAGGGGAACAACTCCAGTGTCTGTCAGCTGGCGCCACCGCGTGGTGCGGTCAGGAAGTGGAATAGTACTTAGCCAGGAAGAGAAAAGTTTATATTTTCTTATCTCAGTACCCGGCATTGAGGCCAAGACTGTCTCGAAATAAATGAGCGAATGAATGTGTAGCAAGGGTGCGGCTTCCTTGGTCCTGCTGCATCACTGATCTGGGCTCCAACCTGCGATCCTCCAGCCTCAGCCTTCCCGGTGCTAAGACGACATATGTGCACCACCATCCCCGGGGCCTGCATTTGTTTTTTTCCTTGCTGGGGATGAAACGTGGGCCGTATGCATGGTAGAAAGCACTCGGGCTCGGCCCCGTGTCCCCAGCCTGGGTCGCAGTCTAGAGCCTTGTTGGCCCCTTGGCTCAGAAACACTATGAGAAAGACATCAGCATAGTGGCTGTGTGGATCGCGACCCTGTTTGCCCACAGTGCCCAGAATAGGAAAATCATTGGGGACCGGGGACAGGAGGACAAGGGAGTGACAGCTAAGGGGACAGGGTCACACTGGTGCCTCTCTGGCCCAGGGCAACATGACCCCTCCTGTCTCTACTCTGTGTCCACACCGCCAGAGGTCCCCTTGGATACCAGCACTGGGTGCGGACCAGGTCCCCCACGGGCTTCTCCCTGCCCACCTCGGGCCTTCCTGCCCATGCTCTGCAGGCCCCGCCCCCGTCGGGTCACCCCGCCCCGCCCCAAGGCCCCGCCCCCATGGGGGGCCCACCCTGCCCCTGCCGGCCCCACCCTCTCGGGCCCACCACGCCATTCCCCCACCCCACCCCCGCAGGCCCCGACCCCTCGGCCGCCCTCCCCCCCCCCCCCCCCCCCCGCGAGCCTTGCCCTCCGGAAAGCAGCCTTCCTTCCCACCGGCCTCAGACTGAAGGCCACCTGTGTCCCTGCAGTGTCCACCCCAAGGCCATTGTCCTGCCCTCCTGAGGAAAGGTTTGAGCTCTGGGTCTGTCCGCTGCAGCTGAGGCTGTGCTCGTTTGACAAGAATGACATGAAATGAGGTGATGAGGACCCCCCTAAAATCCACCGCACTCACACAACCCTGCAAATGCGCTACACATCCCTGAACCATACTATCCACCTTCAGTGCCATGTGGATTACATCTCCATAGAGCTGCTGTGTTTTTCTTTTTTAATTTTAACGAATTAATTATTTATTTAGAGACAAGAGTCTCACTGTGTAGCCCAGGCTGGCTTCGAACTTGCAGCTATCCTCCTGCCTCGGCCTCCTAGGTGCTGAGACTATAGGTGTGCACTACTGTGTCCAGCTTTCTGTACAATTTTATTTTTAAAGCAGTGACAAAGTTTGTTGGAAAAAGTAAAAGTGAAAAGTGAGGGAGAAAGCAGCTCTGCTGAGTGAGCTAACCAAGTGTAAGAGGACAAGGCAAGATAATGGTACCCCCCGGGGGGACTAGCATGAGGAAGCTGCCCTGGCCTTTCCTTTTTTCCTGTGTGTGTGTGTGTGTGTGTGTGTGTGTGTGTGTGTGTGTGTCTGTGTTTGTACCAATGATGGAACTCAGGACCTCATGCCTGCCCAGCAGGTGCTTATGCCACTGAGCCAAACCCCCAGCCTCCTTTTTTTTCCTTTTGAAAGCAGTTTCAAAAGCTGTTATTAGAACTGGCTCTGGTGGCCCATGCCTTAATCCCAGGACTCCAGAAGGCTGAGGCAACAGGATCTCAAATTCAAATCCAGCCTGGGCAATTTAGTGACTTAGTAAAACCTTGTCTCAAAAATAAAAAGATGTGGAGTGTCACTGGGTGTGAAGACCCTGGCTTCCATCCCCTGTGCTGAGTGTTCACACACACAGTTACTGTCTTAACCTGTTCATGCTGGGGCCGGAATTCACATGCCTGATTCCTGGCTTCTGGGCAGCTCTGAGTCCCCCGTGGTATGTGCATGGCTGTCTCCACAGACACATGGGACAGTCCCATTGGGTGGTACAAATCCCCTTGGGGACAGTCATGCTTGTGTCCTGGTGGTTCAAGCCAGCTGGAACCTGTTAAAAAAGAAAATGAAAGGAAGAAGAAATAAACTAACAGATAAGCAAAAAGGGTTACAGTTCCCAAGGCCGAGGCCAAACTGTAGCAATGTCAGGGAGGTGTGGCTTCCAGATAAAGTTACAGAAGAGCCGAGGGGGGAGGCGCTTGTGAGATTTTTCGTTTGCATTTTGAGACAGTCTGATTCAGCTGCTGGGGCTGGCCTCCACCTTGTGACCCTCCTGCCTCAACCCCCCAAGAAGCTGGGCAGCTTGGTGTGTGCTGCTGCACTCGGCTCATAGCAACGTCCTCTGTGGGCAGGAGGAAGCCACCCTCTGGACAAACCATAGATTTAAGGGCTGAACCGCTGCTCAGGGACCGGCTGCTGGGTTGTGGAAGTCTGCTACGCGTGGTGGTGCACACTGTTCTAGCACCCAGGAGGCTGAGGCAGAAAGGTCAGTCACTGCGAGTTCAAGGCCAGCCCAGGTTGCACAGTGAGGCTCTATCTCAAACAAAAGCTTCTACCTGCGGACAGGGTGGCAGGCTGGGGTCTCTTGTTTTGTTTACTGAGCACCCCCTGAGCTGTGAGCTGTCCCTGCCCGCTCCCCATCCTCGTTCTGGGCTGGGCAATAGGTTCCAGAGCAGCCTCGCGTTTTCACCCAGAGCGGGGCTCGGCGCGCCCCCTACCGGACGCGGCTGGGACTGAGGCAGATTCGCTCGGGCAGGACGGGCCAAGGCCGCGCACTACAGCGGGTCTGCCAAGGAGGAGTAGCCAGTCGGTTGCTTTGGCCCCGATGGCCCTGGACAGGAACTGACTCATCAAGTGACTGACATTCCTTGCTGAAGAGCTGGAGCAGAAGTACTTTCCTGGCGGGAAAGCCAGCACGGCATGGGCTCCGTGGCCTTTGGCAGGCGTGGAACACAAGGGAACGCGTCCCTGCAGTCCAAGGCCAGAGCATGGGGCTCGGTACTCGTCCCCGGTGGTTCCTGCCCCATTCCCAGTTCAAACACAATGTAATCCATAAACGTCTCTTGGTAGGGAATTGATCCATAAGCTTAGTTCTAAGCCAGGCATGGTAGAACACCTCTGGAATCCCAGGGCTTGGGAGGCTGAGGCAGGAGTGTCACTGCGCATGAGGCCTGCCTGGACTACAGAGTGAGATAGATGCTGTCTCAGAAAAAAAAAAAAAAAAAATTAGAGTTGTACAAATGCTGACATAGAACAATCTCTAAGATATGAAAGCACTCCTAAAATTCATATGTGCAGGAATTTTCTGCAGAAGACTCAAAAAGGGAGTCTTCGTAATTATGTCCCAGGAGGGAGGGAAATAAAAATAACACTTTATCCCCACCTTATGCCTGCATGTAGCACATCATCTGTCAATCACATCAATTTTTTTCGTTTTTATCGGTACCAGGGATCGAACTCACGACTGCCTGCTTGTAAGGCAGGCACTTATGCCGCTGAGCTAAACCTCCAGCCCAAATCACATCAACTTTTAAGGTGGAAACATTATGAATGCCCTGTGAGCCTTCTGTGGTCTGTGTTTGCCAAAGCTTTATATGCATTAAAATTTCTCTAACGCATTATTCTTTCAAAAAGGTTTTTTTTTTTTTTTTTTTTGGTAGTATTGAGGCTCCAACCTGAGGCCTTCACACTAAGCTAAAACCCAACCCCTCTTTTATTTTTCATTTGGACACAGGGTCTTGCTAAATTGCTACATTTCCCAGACTGGGTTCAAACTGGCACTCCTCCTGCCTCAGCCTCCCAGAGTTGCTGGAGCTAGAGACGAACCACCACACCCAGCGACTTCTCTGACTCTTTGCTGTGCTGGTCACATGCCAGTTCCAGCCGCTGTATGAAAATACAGTATGTGTTTCTTTTGTAAGTTACTCTCCTTGACCTTCAGATGAGAAAACCACCTGTTTTAGAGGAAGCAGCTACTGGGGGAGAGGGGACGGGCTCCCCGCTCCGAGTTGCAGCTCGGCTCTTTCTGGGCCGCAGTACCTCTGGCTCCGTTCTCCGTGCCCACGCAGCAGCGCGCCACTCCCATCGACAGTGAGTGCCAGCCCCGAGTGACCTCTGACTGCACCCATAGCTCACCCCCTGGGACCCAGCGCTGTTTCCCAAGCAGGAAAAAGTGCGCTGTGCTTCTGGGGGAAGGGGGCGGTGCTCTGGGACGCACGACGCCCGCGGGGCTCAGGGCCAGATATGGGGTGGGGGGATTCGCTCGGATCCAGCCCTCGGGCACCCCAGAGCCGCAGGTACCTCTCCCTGGGCCGGTGAAGGGTCGTCTGGGTGCCCGCGGTGCATCACCTGTCTCCCCCCAGTCCCCTTCCCGCCTTGCAGGGAGCCGGCGGGGTCCCCGATTCCCCAGATTGCTAACCCTCTCCAAGGCCCGCGTTGCCTGATTCTGGGGCAAGGGGCACAGGGAAGGTGGCTTTGCTCATCCCGATCCTTCTCTCGGGACGACCCTCCCGAGGGCACCCTCCAGGCACCCGCAGCTTCCTTTCCTGAGCACCACGCGAGTCTACACCTGGCACCGAGGGTGCGAGGGTAGGAACTGGACACCGAGACCGTAGGATCTTGCCACTGGCATCCCCAACACTGGACCTGTCGGGAGCCTGAAGGCCTCGCGGTCCTTATGACTCCGTTCTGGATTTTAGGCCCCAAAGCGCGGGGCAAGCGCAGCGGGCTGGTTGCCGACTCCGCCCGCCCACATTCCTGCGCCTCCGCCCGGCCGGGCTAGCTCCAAGCATCCCAACCATCCGAGGACGGGGCGGCACCCTGACACGCCCCTCCTCATAGAACAGCCAGTGGGCGCTCCGGTACGTCCCTTCGGGCCCGCCTTATGGCGAGACCAGCCAATGGACGCGGCGCTGCGTCCAGAATCCCTGCCTCCTCAGGGCGTGACCAGCCTATGGGCGCGGCCCGGTCTCCGGCCCGGGCAGTGCTGGCTGCTGTCCCGGGGCGCACGGACGTGGCTCGCGTTTCCTGCGCGCCCAGCTCCCCGCGCTCTTGCCCCGCGCCACCTCCGCCTGCTCCGCGTCGCCCGCTGCCCCCAGTTGGCCCCGGGCAGCCATGGAGGACGTCACGCTGCACATCGTGGAACGCCCGTTGGCGGGGTACCCGGACGCGGCCGAGGCCTCCGAGCCCCCCGCCGGGGGCGCCCCGGCCGCCGAGGAGCCGTCCGGGCCCGGCACGGAGGAGCTGATCAAGGCGGACCAGGTGAACGGCGTGCTGGTACTCAGCCTGCTGGACAAGATCATCGGCGCGGTGGACCAGATCCAGCTGACCCAGGCGCAGCTGGAAGAGCGGCAGGCGGAGATGGAAGGCGCGGTGCAGAGCATCCAGGCCGAGCTGGCCAAGCTGGGCCGCGCGCACGCCGCCACGAGCGGCACGGTGGGGAAGCTGCTGGACAAGGTGCGCAAGGTCAGCGTGAACGTCAAGACGGTGCGCGGCAGCCTGGAGCGCCAGGCGGCGCAGATCAAGAAGCTGGAGGCTAACGAGGCCGAGCTGCTGCGGCGTCGCAACTTCAAAGTCATGATCTACCAGGTGAGCGCCCCCGGGGCTCGGGCGCGGGTTCCCGCCGCGGCCACCCTGTAAGTGGACACTGCGGCCGGCCGGGGCCTCGCGAGCCACCCGCCCGATATAGTGGGTGATTCAGGGCTCAGGCATGCAGCGGGCGGGGGCTCGGCCGCCCCGCAGCGCCCCACGCCCCCGCATCTGCCCCCGCGCCGTCGCCCCGCTCTGCGCGCCCTGGGGACAGCGTGGCCTCGAGAGCGGTTGGGGCCGGGGAGGCCGAGCGCTGAAAGCGCGGGGAGGGGTACTGTTGGGGGAGGGCGCCCCCGGTCCAGCAGTGAATCACCCGCATGTTTGCGGGGGTGGTGGCTGGGAACGGTGGGGGGAACTGGCGTGCCTACTTGCTCCCAGTGTTTTTTGTTTTGTGCTGAGGGTTGAACCCAGGGCTTGAACCAAGCTCTACGCACACCCCTGTATTTAGTTATTTATTTATTTTTGGTATCGGGAATTGAACTCACGACTGTGTGCCACACTGTGAACTCTCGCCGCTGTGCCACTGAGCTGCAGCCCCTGCCGACACCCCTTTATTTTGGGACAAGGTCTGGGTAAGTCTCTAAACTCGGCAGGCAAAATTAGAATTTACGTTCCTCCTGCCTCAGCCTTCCATTGTGTCGGGGTTACAAGTGTGCACCATGCCCTTTGTTGCTCCTTTTGCATTTCTCGAGGTTCCTCCTACCGGATACAAATGCAGTTTTGCATCATAACCAGAAAGGCAGCCTCTGTGCCACCCCTCTTTGGGATCACTGGGCCACAGGGCTCCTTTATGCTGTGTTCCTTTTCTTCTCCCTGGGGAAGGAGATGGAAAGAGAAGGAATATTAGATTTCCACACACAGGCTGGGCTGGAACTTGGAGCTCTGTTCAGCCTCCTAGAGCACTGGGATTACAGGCCTGTGCCACGTGGGCTGTCGGCATTGCTGCCTGGGGATTGAAGCCAGGGTCTTTGTGAGCTATATCCCCAGTTCTTTATTTTGAGGCAGGGTCTCTTTCAAGCAAGACTTGAACTTGTGACCTTCCTGACTCAGCCTCCCCAGCAGCGGGGATTGCAGGCTGGTACCACTGCAGGCATCTATCTTAGCTTTTGTTAAGTTTTGCTTCTCCCATTTACAGCACTGTCTGGGGGAAAATGTTTGCCCAAAGCTGTTTTCTTTTCTTTTTTTGTCTTTTTGCTTTTTATCGGTACAGGGGATCAAACTCACGACTGCCTGCTTGCAAGGCAGGTGCTTATGCCGCTGAGCTAAATCCCCAGCCCCCCAAAACTCTTTTCACTTGATGTCTGCATGGTGGCTGGATCACCATGTGGTGCCTGCCGCTGAGCTAAATCCCCAGCCCCTGCTGGGAGGTGTTTTTCAGACCTGCCTGTCCCAGGGGCTTCTGAGGCCCCCCCCCCCCCCCCCCCCGTGGGCTGGCCCTGCCTTCCACCCATAGTTGAGGGATGAGTGACCTCACACTGGGGCAACCTGGGAAAGTTCTAAGTCCCTAGGAGGTAAAGTCTCTGTGCTAGAGAGACACCAACAGATGTGGCAGTGCAAGCTTGTCATCCCAGCACTCAGGAGGCTGAGGCAGGAGGATTGTCAGGAGTTTAAGGCCAGCCTGGGCTACACAGTGAGACCCTGTCTCCAAATTTAAAAAAATAAAAGCCAAAAAGTGGCAATAGTTCCATATAAGGGCATAAGGCTGAGTGGCTGGGGGCAGTGTCCATCCTGGGGTGGCTCTGACTAAGCAGGGCCAGGCAGAGGAGGAAGGGAGTGGGTTCAGTGCCCTCCCACCCACCCCAGGGGAGGTGCCGGTGCTGGGAGCAGTGACAGGCCAGGAAGAGGGCTTTACCCACTTGGGGGCCCCTGTGGAGTGTCCCTGCCCCGAAGTCTGCCCAGCTGTGAGCCCGAGGCTGGACCGAGGCCAGAGTCACCGTGAGCTAGGCAGGCCTTAATAGGGAAGCCAGGCACGGAGCTACGGGAAAGGCCAGGTGGGGACAGAGACAGGGACCCAGGCCTCAGGGGAGGGGACATGGGGAAGGAACACTGGGACCCCACTGCAGATACATGGAAGGTGACACGGCCATCTGCCGCCCTCAGCTCTTCCTGGGGAGCAGAGGGAACCCCTGTGTACCCACGATCAGGGCCAGCGGTGGTGCCAGGCATCCCGGCAGGTGGCTGCAGGCCCTGTTGGGAGTAAATTCCAGTCCCCAACCTTTGGGGAGTGGGCATGAGCCCCTCGGGGTGTGGATCACCAGGGAGCCGGGACCAGCTGAGTCTCCGGAGAGAACTGAGGGATATTTTTAGTTCCTTTAGTTATTTTAGGACCCAAAAGGGGAAAAATAAATGCTTTGTGGGACAGTTGGGGTTTTATGTTTGTCTTCCCAGCACTAGGGAAGGCCTCCACACTGAGCAACATCCCAGCACTTCTTTAGGCTGAGGCAAGGTCTTGCTGAAGAGCTGACTGGCACAAGCTGGGCTTGAACTCACCACCCACCTGCCTCAGCCTCCGGGAGTGCTGGGGCTACAAGCATTCACCCAGTGCTTTCAGAAGTAGCTTTGGTCAGGCAGAGTTGTCGACCAGCACTGAGACCCATTGGCCTGTGCCTGGTTCTTGGCGACAGGACAAGAAGCACTGGAAAGAGTAAGTGGCCGTGGGCACTGAAGAGCCTGCTGGCTTCTCCCCAAATCCCAGCCTAGCCTTTAATACTTTCTTCCCCCCATGCCAGGCGATACTTTCTTCCCCCCATACCAGGCGAATCGTCACCCTATTTTATTCTTTTTGTCTTTTTGTGACAGGGTCTCACTATGCAGTTCAGGCTAGCCTTGGGCTCACTTTGTAGCCCAGGTTGGTCTCGAACTTCCAGCAATCCTCCTGCTTCAGCCTCTCAAGTGCTGGGATGACAGGTGTGCGCCACCACAGCTGGTGCCCCCAGGCCTAATAGCCAGGGAGAGTCTGTCACACCCTCCCTTCAGAGAGCTGTGTGTGCCTTATTTTTCTTGGTCACTGAGTTGGCTTTGGGAAGGCTATTTTTAGGAGTGCTCACAAAACTGCCTGTCCCTTCCTCTTTTCTCTTTAGTAGTAGGGTTGAACCCACCCCCTTTTTTATTTTGTCATTTCTGAGACAGGGCTTTGCTATGTTGCTAAGTCCCCCGAGCTGGATTGAGCATAGTACCTTCCTGCCTCAGCCTCCCAGCAGCAGTGGCATGGAGTGGGCAGAGCAAGGGGCAGACAGTGACGTCCCCCTCCCCATGAGCTGCGTCTTGACCCTGCCTTGGAGCTGACTGACAGTGACTTGCGTTGCTGGCCCCCTCGACTCTGAGCAGACACACCCAGCCAAGCCAGCCACTTCTCTGCTGTGCGGTCCAGGGCTCTGGGCCCCAAGAAGGGATACCACTTGGCCACAGTCCCTGGGGGTCAGGGTCAGGACTGAGCCATGCTGGAGAAAGCTGGCCAGGCCCAGGCTGCCCTGGCTTCCTTCTCTGGCCCAAAGGCTGCTGTGCCTATATGTGTGTGGCTAAAGTGGCCAAAGTGGCCATCTGCTGCTCAACCTCACATGTGCTGATGTTGTTGGCGTGTGTCCCCTGGGTTAGGGACAGTGGGAGGACAGCCTACCAGGAGCAAGGACCATCCCCAGGCACGGACCCTGCATACCTTGGGAGAAGGACATTATTTTTGTTTTGTTTTGGGTTTTTGAGGTAGGATCTGTTACGCAGTTCAGGCTGGCCTTGCACTCACTATGCAGCCCAAGCTGGCCTGGAACTTATGGTGATCCTCCTGCCTCAGCCTTCTGAGTGTCTGGATCACAAGCAAGCACCACCACACTGGGTGAGAGGGCCGTTTTTGGAGCCTGGCTCCCACTCCCTGGCAAGCCTGCCTCCGTCTTTACCTGCAGGGCAGCCAGTCTCTGTTCCAGGCTCGGTGACAGCACAGGACTTACTGATCACTGCTGTTGTCCGGTCTGCTGGTCCCTCTGTCCCCGCTCATGGCTCCTGGCCAGTCAGTGCACAGCCCCCACCAGGGCAAGTTGGAGGCCCCAGGGCCGCCTGCCAGAGAGAAACACAGCCTGGTCCTCTGTGCCATCCCCTGGGTGTGGCTAGGGGACAGAAGATGGGGACATGGCCAAAAGGAAGCAGCCAGGATGTCCCTTTTCCCTGCCACCCCCTGTGCTCATCCGGGGCAACACGGTGCCCACCCTGCCCAGGGGACAGCAGAAGCCACCAACAGACGCATGTGCCCTCTTTCCCCGCGGGGCCACTGTCTGACTCCTGGACCCCAGGAACTCCGGGCCCCAGGTCCCCAGTGGTGGCAGCTCAAGGAATTGCGATGGAGGTCCCAGAGGGTGGGGGGCTTCCAGAGGCTGTTTGTTAGTCCTCCCTTTCCCTGTTCCCAGGGCCCCCTGGATGCAGCACTTTCAGTGTGGCTTCTCACCATCGTGATCCAGTGCCCGCCCTGACCACTCCCTACCCTACAGGCCACAGAGTCCCTTTCTGCCTGCCACCCGCACCCATCCCGGCCCACTAAAACCCCTTTTCCTGTCTTAGCCCCAGAAGCCCAAGGCTTCCTGTGAACCGGCCACGCCCAAGACTGTGCCCTTTGACCTTCTGCCTGCGACCAAGCCAGTGCCCGAGCACCCACCCTACAAGCAGCTGCCCAGGACACTGCCTTATTACCCCGAACTGGGGCCTTGCCCCAGCCCAGGAGAGCCTACAGGCGCTGGGGGTTTTTAGAGTGTGTGCTTGGTTTTGGGGTGTCCGCTTTGCTGTGTTCTCCTGCATGCTAGGTTCCCACAGGGCTGCTTCCAGGCCCTTGGTGCTACTTCATTTTCATTTTTTTGGAAATGGGGATCGAACTCACGATCTCGTGCTTGGCAGGCTGGCACTTGTGCTGCCGAGCTACATCCTGGCACAAGCTTGGTCCTGTTTTAAAAGCAGCTGCCTACTCTTGTGTGATAGTAATGGTTAAAAAAAAAAAAGCAGCTGCCTAGGCCAGAGCCGCCTAGGCTCTAGCCCGCCCATGATCGAGCGCCCTGTGTTCCTGTCCTCTGTCCCCCTGCCTACCACCTGCTCCTTGGAGGGGTGATGGGACACAGGAGGCGCCCACCCAGCCCAGCACGCCTGTCCACCCACTCCCTGCAGCCAAGGGAAACATTTATGCTTGTTTTTTCCAGTTTCTTTGGAAACTGTTTTGCAGAGATCCAAGTGTTTGCCGGATCCTGCCCTGGGCGGGGCCCGGGCCACTGCCAGCTCTGAGGCCAGCTGGGGATCTGGAGCTGGCACTGGCCCAGCCCTGCTGCTTCCCTGAGCAGGACTTCCCACCGTGTTCCCCTCCTCCTTTGGAGGTGCTGGGATTGAACCCAGGGCTATGGTGCTAAGCTGCAGCCCCAGCCTTTATTTGTGTCAGGGCTTTGTCAAGCTGCTGAACTGGCCAGGCAGGGCTTCAATTTGAGACTGTCCTGCTTCAGCCTCTCAGAGCACTGTTTGGAACACCATGTACCACCATGATACATCTCTGACCTCCAGTCCAAGCTTCCCTCGTTGGGAACAGCACCCCCCTGTGGGGAACTAGGAAGGTGGAGCAGGAGGAAGGACCTGCTGCTTCCAGTGTCCTTGTTTTCTCTAGTTTCCAATCTATCAGACAGGTCCGTGACTTGATCCTCTGCCTAGCAGTGTCCACACAGCTCTGGGGCCTCCACACCACCTGTCCAGTGTCTTCCTCAGCAGTGGTTGGGGACAGTACCAGATCAAGACAAGCCCCAGCTCAGCGCATGGCCCTTGTCCCTGTTGTGTGAAGTGCCTGGCTAGGACCAGGTGCAGAGTAGGTGCTCAGTTAAATTATCATTTGGGAGTACTTAGATGTTGAATCTGGGGCCTTCACACTGAGCACTGTCCCTAGCCCTTTTTCTATTTTTTATCTTGGGACAAGTTCTTGCCAAGTCACTAAACTTGCCCAGGCTAGGTTGGAACTTTCGACCCTCCTGCTTCAGCCCCGTATCAATTGTAATCATATGTAGTATGGGTGGAAGAGGCTGGGGTGCAGGGTGCATTTGGCTGGTGGGGGAGCTGTGTGACACCTGTTCAGACCTGGTCATTAAAGGTAACTGGAAACCCAGGCTGCTGGACTGTGGTTTTGTTGAGTAAACAGGAGGGAAACAGAACAAGTCGGGTCTCCCGCCCCGCACTTGTATGCGCATACTCCCAGGGCTCAGGCTCTGTGCCAGGGAGGCTGGGAGCGGGGATAGGAAGGTACGAGGCCCAGAGGCCCCTGTACCCGCCCAGCAACGGCCGCCCCCGGTTGGGCCTAGCTGGATCCTGAGCCGTGAGTCACGGGGACCAGCCTGGGAAGGGGATGGGGAGCCCTTCACAGAAGGCTCCAGGGGAGCCCAGGCTCAGTTGCTGCTCCGGGCGGAAGCCACGTCCCAGAGACCCCATTCTGCAGCCTCATGGCTCTGCCCTAGAAGAACGGGGAAACTCAGCTAGCTTGGCCTTCAGGCCCGCAGGCGAGGCTGAGGGTGCTGGGGGCGGGGCCAGAGACAATGTGGCTTTGTGTGCCAGCGCCGGGAAGGCTTCCTGAGTGTTTCCCACTGACCCCCGCCCCTCGCCCGCCCTCTGGGCCGCCAGCCCAGTGGGAGGCGGTTTTCCCCGTGGGGCCAAGTGGGGAGGCTTTTAGGTGAGGAGGCTGTGGCAATGGGTGAAGAGGAGCAAAGTTTAAATCCCGGAGTCCAGCGTGATACCAAAGTACTGATGGTGTCAGTAGCAGGCAGGCCAGGATAACTAGAGGACACCCAAAGGTGCCCCTGACATCAGATAAAACCTCGGAGAAGCTGGTCTTCTCCACCCCCAAATAGGGCCACGCCGCGCGGAGCCTCAGGGGATAAGAGGCAGAGGGACAGAGCCATTCCTCACACCTTACAGCTGTAGTCGTCCACGGCAGGTGGAGACTACAAGTCCCAGCATGCTTTGTGTCCCGCTCTCGAGGGCTGCTGGGAAGTGTAGTCTTAGATGAGCTGATGGACAACCGTGTGCCCGGCAGAACCAGTGTGGGGTGGGGAGGGCAGGGCCCTTTTGTCCCTGCTAATGATGTTGACAGGGAGGGAAGGAAGTCGGTAGGAGGAGGTGTTCCCAGCTCCCAGTGTAAACCAGGAAACCCAGAGGGATGTGAGTGGGACGAAGAGGAAGGCGATGGGGTGGGGACGGGGTCTGTATGGCAGGTGTGCAGACATCCTGAGGGGGGTGGGGGTGTGTACGTGCGTGCACGCACAGGGATGAATTCACGTGGCCCTATTTTCTCAGAAGACAGAGTTTCTCTTACAATGCCCGGAAATAATGTCTAGAAGCCCCTTAGAAATCCAAGTGTCTTTCCTTCCTTCTTCGGTGCCCAGGCTGGGCTACAACTTTGATTCTCCTGCCTCAGCCTCCAGGCAGGGCGACGTAAACCTGTTTGTTTCCTCTCGTTCTGATCAGGTCTTTGGGCACCCTCTCTGCTCGGGAAGCCTGTTTTTGGGGGGCTGCGGGGGTGTGATCCTGAGGTGCCCAATGTGAACACGAAGACATGATCCTCGGACATCTCAGAGTACCCAGGTGTTGCTGGATCCTCAAGGGAGGGGGCGAAGCAGCAGCTGGCTCTGCAGCCCAGGGTCATGGCAGTTGATTGGGGTCCACCCTGGCCCAGGCCTGGGAGCTGGAGAAAAGGCCACCGCGCTCTTCCACGGGGGTGGGAAGGAGCCCAGGCGGACCTTCTTCCTCCGTTAATGTCCACTTGGGATGTCAGGTTCCGGCTGGGGTCACCGCGGAGGTAAAGGGTGGTGTTCCAGGACAATCTAGTCTGAGCAGCACCTGCTTTCCTACCCTGCGTGGGGGGTCCCGGGGTCGCCCGGTGGGTTCTTATACCCAACCCAGACCCACGCTGCGTCCCCGCTGGTCTTTGACCTGGTTTGGCAGTGTGTGATCTGGGCACCAGGGGGCGCTCCTCCACCGCCGAACTCAGACGGAGTAGGCCGAGCTCACAATCAAAAACCTTGGGGGGGGGGGGTTCGTAGTGCTGGGGTTGGAGGGCACAGACACTTGGGCCAAGCGCAATGGTGCTGCGGACCGGGCTCCTACCCGCCCTTGTACCTCTGCGTGCTGTCCAGCCGGTGTCCGTGCATTCAACGATGTGGTGGCCTACGACTGAGAGGCCGAGGCAGGAAGGTCGCAAGGTCCAGTCCAGTCTGGGCAACTGATGATGATGACTGGGGATGCAGCTTCATGCAGAGGCCTTCGGTTTACTTCCCCAATGCGCAGGTCAGGCTGATTTTGGAGACCTCTGTCTCATCCGCTCTGTCTCTCTTCCCCTAGGATGAGGTGAAGCTCCCGGCCAAGCTGAGCGTGAGCAAGTCGCTCAAGGAGGCAGAGGCGCTGCCCGAGCGCGAGGGTGAGGATGCAGGCGAGGGCGCACGGCCCGAGGATGAGGAGGACGCGGCGGCGCCCGAGCTGTCGTCGGATGAGGCGGTGGAGGTAGAGGAGGTGATTGAGGAGTCGCGCGCCGAGCGCATACGGCGCAGCGGCATGCGGCGCGTGGATGACCTGCGCAAAGCCTTCTCACGCGAGAAGATGGAGCGCACGCGCCTGCGCACCAAGGAGAACCTGGAGAAGACGCGCGTGCGCACGCGCGAGAACCTGGAGAAGACGCGGCACTCGCTGGAGCGGCGCGTGACCACGCTGGGTGCGCGTCTGGTGCCGGCTGAGCGCCGTGAGAAGCTACGGTCCTCTCGGGAGAAGCTGCGCAAGTCCTTCACGCCCGACCATGTGGTGTACGCGCGCTCCAAGACGGCGGTCTACAAGGTGCCGCCCTTCACCTTCCACGTGAAGAAGATCCGCGAGGGCGTGGCCGAGCCGCCCCGCGCCACCGAGATGGTGCCGGTGGGCACCGACGACGAGCCTGAGCCCGAGCGCGGCGAAGCCGGCGACCTGCTGCGCGCCAGCAGTCCCGACGTGCACGCGCTGCTGGAGATCACCGAGGAGTCAGACGCCGTGCTGGTGGACAGGAGCGACAGCGACTGAGCCCACCCGCTAGCCCGCCGCACCCCGCCGCTTGCTCTGTCGCCTCTCTCGCTCTGTCTTTCTCTGCCCGCCCCAGCTCGGCTAAGAGCTTTCCGATCACCTCCTTGGAGGCTGAGGCAGGAGGACAGCTGAGCCTGCTGGGCCACGTAGTAACTTAGGGAGGCCCTGCCTCTGAATACAGGAGGCGGAGGGCAGGCGTGGAGCTCAGTCCAGTCCAGGGAAGGCCCTGGGTTCCGCTTCCCCACGGCTGCGAACAATGAGGGAGAAAAGGAAGACAGGCAGCCCAGTGTGGGCGCATCGTGGTGGAAACGGGAAGGACGCGCTCCTCACCTTGGCCGTCCCCATTGGGGCTTCCATCCCTGGCTTCCTACCTGACCCCGAGCCGGGGGCTGAGGGCCTCTGGGGACTGGGCCGTGGCAGGGGCCGAGGTCTCGAGCTTTGGGAACTCGGGCCGTGGGGCAAGGGACAGGGCCTGTGCACCAGAGGAAGGCAGGAGAAGGAGAAGATGGGATGGAGGAAGACAGAAGTGAGGGACTCAGGACAGGACAGGGGTTCTCAGGACAGCTGGGGAGGACTTGAGAGAAAGGGGTGACCTAGGGGGGAGAAGGACGGTTGGGGAAGCCCAGCCCAGCATGCTAGTCCTAGAGGAGATGAGGGGAGAAGTGCAGGAGCCAGGCTGGGGTTGGGGGCGTTCCCAGGGTCCCGACCTGGACCTTCCCTGCCAAGGCACGGAAAACTGGCATCCCTGCCCCTGGGGTGCCTTTCTGCACCCCACACCCACTTAAGACCCTCTGTCCCAGTCCTCTCCTACCCCTTCCCCACGCTGCGCTTTTTAGGGTCACCGCTGACCACTAGGGGGAGGGAGGGCTCAGGGGACGCGAACCTTTTATACACGAAACTTGGCTTTGTTTCTGTTTTGTTTTTTTCCCTTTTTCTTTCTTGGCTTCCTTCTCTCCCCTGAGTGGCTAGAGCCCTGCGCCTTGGAGGGCAGGGATGTGGGTCCCCTGGTGCTTAGGGGGCTGAAGGGGCCAGTGCTGTGGCACGAGCAGCCGTCCTATTGCTGGGCCTGTGACAGCCTGACCAATAAACTTGCTTTTCTAAAAGGATCTCTGTCCCTTGTGTTCTCAGGAGGAGGCCACCGTGGAGCCAAAGGGGTCTGGGGACCCTCGGGGGAGGCACACTTGGTTATAAACCTCCTGCCTGGGTTGCAAACTAGGTGTGGCACATGCTTGACATCCCAGCGCTATGGAGGCTGAGGCAGGAGGGACACCGAGAGTTCCAGGCCAGCCACTACTACACAGTGCAAGGCCAGCCTGCGCAGTGAGACCCTGCTCAAAAGTCAGAGAGAAGGAGAGACCCTGTCTGAGGTCACAGCTGGGCAGGGCAGTGTGGGACTCTTAAAGGCAGACACCCGGGCTCAGAGGCTGCCTGGGGTTTTGTCCTGTCACCCGGAGAGGTCGGGATGCTCACTCTCCAGATGTATCCCCCCAGCGCTTCCCCCAGGATCCCAGACTTGGAGGAGGGACCAAGGCTGCCTTCACGATGGGTGGGAGGAGGTGCCAAGGACTGCTGCAGGTCCTCTACAGCCACCTGAGGAGGTGTGGCCCCAACAAGCCTCTCCACCCCAGCCTGCTGCCCGCACCCTGACAGTAGAGGCCACTCCTGAGTCATGGCCACTTTGCTGCCCCTGCACCACCTTGGTGGCCATTCTAAGAGTCTTTGGTCCCAAGTCCCCGGGGAGGGTCTGGCTCTCACCTGAAGGAGGCAACACTAATGCTCAGCCTGAGAATTTACGACCTGCAGGAGCCGTGGACTGAGCTGTCCCCATCCTCTGGGACCAAACTGCACCATCCAAGTCACTTTTTCCCCGTGTTGGGGATGGAACCCAGGCCCATGCACACGAGCCCAGCCTCCACCCCTAAGCCTCTGGCCCCAGGGTTTCCTCCAGGGGTTGGGATAGTCAGGTCCCACACCTTGGACCTGGTGTGGAGTTTGCACTCTGATTGTCCTTCAGGCCACAGGGCTGTACAGAAACGCACTGCACCATCCCTGACTTTGGTCACTGAGCTTTGTGAAGAGGGCTGCACACTCCATGGGAGCTGGACCAAGCATTGGGGGCTCCCCTGGGCTTGGAGACCCTGGCCCAGTGCTCCCATGATGCCCCACTGTACTTTTACCAGGGCAACGGCAGAGGTCGGGAACCACTCAGGATGTAATAAAATAGGGGTTACTTGGACCAGTTGTGGGTTTGCACAAATAATTCTTTTTCTTGTTTAGCCGTGCGTGATGACACACGCCTGTTATCCTAGCACTGAAGAGGCTGAGGCAAGAGAATTGCTGTGAGTTTGAGGCCAGTCGTGGCAACAAAGTGAGCTGAAGTCCAGCCTGAACTGCATAGCGGGACACTGTCTCAAAAAGACAAAAAAATCCTTTTTCCCCTTCATTGCTAATGCAAATACTCTAAGGTAGGCTAGGGTAAGCAACGCTGTCAACCTTGTTAGACATATTTTTTTGGGGGGGGGTATGGTATTGAACTCAAGGCCTTTGTATTGAACTAAACCCCCAGCCCTATTTTATTTATTTACTTATTTATTTATTTTTGACTTTCTGAGATAGGGTCTCTCTATGCAGTTCAGGCTGGCCTTTAGCTCACTATGTAGCCTTTGCTGGTCTCAAACTCACATCGATCCTCCTGCCTCAGCCTCCCAAGCGCTGGGATTACAGGTGTGAGCCACCATGCCTGGCTTCCCAGCCCTATTTTAAAATTTTGAAGCCTAGCATTTGGGAGGCTGAGGCAGGAGGATCACTTCAAGTTCAAAGCCAGCCTGGGATAGGCAGCAAGACTCTGCCTCAATTTTTTTTTGTGTTGTGCCAGGGATCAAACTCATGACCTTGCACTTGGCAAGCAGGTGCTTATGCTGCTGAGCTAAAGCCCCAGCCCCCACAAATTTTTTTTAAATAGATAAAATTTTGAGACAAGATTTTGCTAAATTGTTCTGACTGACCTCAAACTCAAGATCCTCCTGCCTCAGCTTCAGGAGTAGTAGGATTCCCAGCATGCACTACCAAACCCAGCTGAGTTTCAACTTACAATACAACGGCACCTCAGTGCACAAAGTCAGTTCATCCCATGATTCTAGAAAAGATGGCCATGATCATCATGTTCCTGCAGGAGCAATGGGAGTGGTCTCTCTTTTTTTTTTTTTTTTTTTGGTACTTGGGAATCAAACTCACGACCTCGTGCTTGGCAGGCAGGTGCTTAAGCCACTGAGCTAAATCCCTGGCCTTTGCTGTAGTCATTTTCATCAGCCAATGCAGAGTTCACAAACAGAATCAAAATTTTGCCAAATTGTCCACAATCAGAAAGACCCCTGATCCGAGGTATCCCTGCATTTTCAGTCCATAGTGGGTTTGTCTATGTGCAGCCCTGGTGTAAATCAAGGAGAACCTGAAAACATTTTGAAAGAGAACCAGCGCTACAGATTAACTGCCTTCCCTTGACCAAAGGATTGGGCTCCTTCCTTGTGTGGTGTCCCAGGCCTCCTAGAGCCCTGTCCTGGCCCTGGCTCTTGCGCTCCCCCCCCCCCTTCAGGCTAGGTAGGACCATGGGCTTTTGGGGCTGGGGGCTTTGCCCTGGCCTGTCCTCGATTGGGGGATGTGATCCCCACTTCTCTCTCTCTCCCTGGCACTGGGAATTGATCACAGGGCCTTTAAGCTACATCTGTTGTTTTGTTTTGGACTTAGACCTTGCTACGTCTCTAAATTGCCTGAGCAGGGTTTGAATTTGAGATCCTCGTGCCTCACCCTCCCAGAGTGCTAGGATTACAAATGTGTAGTGCCATGCCCTGCCTCCTCTCCTCTTCAACCAACCTCTTCCCCAGAGTTTTAGTCACTCTAATCAACTTCCTCTCACACTTCCCACAAAGCTTTGTGGAAATAAACACTTACAGTTTTTTTGTTTCTCTCGATTAGCAGTTCAGGCTGGCCTCCAACTCATGATCCTCCTGTCTCAGCTTCCTGAGTGATGAGATTCGGGCCCTCTTTCCCATGCCTAGCTAATAATGAATCACTGCTCTAAATGTCACTAAGTGGATGAATGACAGGATTCTAATCCCTTCCAAGTGTCATAAACTCTTTTCAAACCGATTGTAGCAAAAACAAGCAAAGTAAAGTACTGGGAATTTACGTAAAGGGAAAAATCCCCAGAGCTGGGCTAGGGCGACTCCCTTGGGTGCGTCCAGACTCTGATGCAGAACCAGGACTCACCCTCCTCTTCCCGGTCCATGCCAGCACGGGTGTGTGCTAATAGCGGAGGTTCTTTCCGAATGCTGCCCCAAGCACCCAGTGAAGACGGGGTTTTCTGCTAGGTGCTTTCAGAGGCGCTTGAGGGCGTGGCATCTGCTCAGAACTCGCAGGGCCGCCTCCCACCTCCAGCGCTAGGGGCGGTGAGCAAGGGGCCGGGCTGGGGTGGAGCTGGGAGCTGGGAGAAGGCTCAGCGTCGCCTGCGCCAGCCCTGGGCACCAATAGCAGTACCAGCGGATTCCCAGGCGGGAGGGTCGCTGGCTGGGCCGGAGCCCGTGGTTGCTGGGCTCAGCAGAGCTGGAGGGGGCAGACCGGCCACCCGAGCTCCTCCCCTACCATTTGTGTGCGGGCTTCACACAGTCAGTGACAGCTGCAGATGTTCCAGAAAGCTGCAAGCCCCTAGGCCTGTAGCGCACAGACTGTGTGCGGGAGTGGGTCGGTGAGGCTGGGGCTCCTCCGGGCACAGGGGCTGAGAGCCGCTTCCCTGAGCTCAGGAGGGGCTGCAGGTGTTACTGGGAGATAGAGGCCACGTCTTACTTGATTTTCCTGTCTGCCGAGCTTGGAGCTTAACCATGGCTCAAAAACTTGCCTGGTCCAAGGTAGGAGATCTTGCATTGCTTCAGCTGGGTGTGGAGGTGCACACCTGCAATCCCAGCACTCAGGAGGCTAAGTTAGGCCAGCCTGGGCTACATAGCAAAATGCTGTCTCAAAAAACAAAACAAAAAAAAAAAAAAAACCTGATAGGAAAAATATCATATCTTGCTTAAATCCTTCCTTAGATGATTTCTGACGTGTGAATTCACAAAGTATACTTACATACACACAAACACCCAGCAGGTATGGATCATTTGTTTTGTCTTTCTTTCTTTTTTTGTGAGTACCAGGAATTGAACTCAGGACCTTGCACTTGCCAGGCAGGCACTGCATTGCTGAGCTACATCCCCATCCCTGGTACAGTATCATTTGGAGATATTATTTATTTTTATTTTTATTTTTTTAGATACAGTTCAATAGAGCAGCTCAGACTGGTCCTTTTTTTAAATTTTATTTTGAAGGTAGTAAAATATAACAGAACAAAGCCAATCGAGACAATGCAGTGAAATTGGTATAGAACTTTAGAGCAGGATCCAGTAACAGGTACCACAATAGATCTTGTTATCTTCACAATAGTTGTCCATTCCATCAGATAGAGCAAAGTCAACTCAAAAACAGAACACTATAAAACCAATCCAGGAGAATATTAAATAGAGCAAAACAATCATTACAAGACATAACAGTGAAAACAACCTTTGCCTGCAAACAGAAGATGGAAAGAAATCCCCATATTTGCCATATTTCATATGGTCATCCTCCCAAGAGATGCTCTGACCTTTGACCCCAGGTGCTAACCGGGTGTGGGGTGGGGGGGGGGGTGTTTGATTCTCAGCCCATGCACCGTAAGCTCACAGGAGCCACTGACTGAGTCTCCTCCGGGCCCACACCAGGAGCGCTTACCAAGACCGGGGGTGAATTGCCTTCTTGTGCAGCTGCCTAAGTCTCACCTTGGCCGGATCCCAGGTAGCCCCAGACTGGTCTTAAATTTACAATCCTCCTGCCTCAGCCTCCTGAATGCTAAGATCACAGGTGTGCACCACCATGCCTGGTTTATTTATTTGGAAATGTAATCCTCCGGGACCTCTTTTGTGCACATGACCATCTGTCAGGGTTGTAAGGAGAGGACTTTGGCCAATGTGAAGAGGGAAATCGATGTTGGACAGCTGCCGGGTTGTTCTTCAGACTTGAATCCGGGAATGTTCCAGACTTT